TCGCCTCGGCTTACAAATGGGAAATTCACATGACTATGGCAATTTACGTAATCCTCCCTACTTGCCGGTCTAAATTCTTATTTTTTTCGTCGGGAAAAGAGTTCTTCCAGATTTTATCCCTCTTACTTTATTGACAATAAGAAATCTTTTCTAGATTATATTTATAATATATAGACTTGCAGGGATTTTTGTTTAAAAGATTCTCGTGAAAATAGAGAGAGACTGATGTGAAAAACTGTACCTCTACTTTGGGGAAAATTAAGCATCTTATGAGCACGCTATCCTAAAAGCGTGCTATAAATACGCTCACCTTTTCGTCTAGGGCGAAAGGTGCTCTTCCCGCTCACTCAAGAAAGTTACCAGCTTAGATTAGAGCAGGTAAAAACTTCTCTATCTATGGGAGATTAAAATATTATCTATAATTTAAATAATTTATGGAATATGAGAGTGAGAGTGTGTATTTACAGATATGACTCGTCACCCAGCTCGCAGATGCCACCTATGCGGGCGATTATACCCTCAGGATGCAGCTCACCACACTTTCTCCTGTAGTTTCTGCGGGCTATCAGTGTGTGTGGCGAATGTCACAGCTCATCGCAGGAGATGCGTGACAGGTGAGATACCCAGGTTATTGCTCTGAATTGATGTTTTCTTAAAACTGCTATTTTCAGATAATGAAATAAGTCTTTGAGCTAATAATAATTTTTTCCAACAGTTGGGGCGGGGCAATACTCCAAGCAGATGATCCGGGGGGCGGGCCAGGAAGAAAGAGGTCAGCGCTCTTTTCTTAATCAATTATTTTTATTAACAGTCAAACATTTTTAAGATATGTTTATAAAGTATCTCACTAACAAGAATAAAAATCATTTTGAGAACCGCATATATTCCATAGATTGCTTAGCTTCTCCCAGTTTTATACTTTAACAGTAACATTTTTTTAAAAGATTGCTAGAGTTATAATTAGTCTAGTATGGCTCTAAAACAAAATAATAATAAATAACTTTCTCTAATTATATTATGCAGATCAGTCTGTGTCCTCCGATGAATCTTCGACCGTAACACTCCCACAAGAGCAAGTTGAGCCGATTGCCGGTCCCAGTGGATGGAGACCAGCCGCCACAAGTGACAGCTCCTCTTCCAAGGATCATTACTACTCTTTCTTGGGTTCCCCCTCCTCTGTTAATCGAAGGTTCACTTCAGGTAAAAAAAATTTTTGTTCAGATGAGGAAGAGAGTGAAATGGGAGACGATTCCATTTCAGAGGAACCACACATTACGAGTCGGTCGGAATGTTTTCAAGGTCACTTCTGTCGAATAAAATATTCAATTCCTGCCTCTCATAAACACGACCCCATATTATTTCTTCAGTCCTTCGCAACAACATTTATGAGGCACATATTACAGTTTTTCACTGTTCTATCAGGACGAGCACTTTATGAAAATGCTCTTAGGATTTATGCCGAACTGAGCCTATATTTGCGAAGACAGTCGCTACTGGGAGAGGGAAGACAGACGTGAGCATTATTTAAACTTTCCCGCGCAAACTTGTTACACGAGTTGTATATCTCGGACTTCTTACGGTCAGGAGGGTGTACCTTAGCATGCGATTTGAAACTGAAATTTCATCGGGGCCGAGGGAATCAGGATTCATACTAGATATATAATAAGGGTTTTCATATTGTAATATGCAAAGAATGGAGTGCGTGTGATCCTAGGAGATATATAGAATATCCCACAATCTTTACGAGGGGAAAATTCAGATATATTTAACCGAGAGGAGTAAAAAATAGCTGTTTTTTCAATGTCTGCGGCATTTTTTGTCGTAGACTTGGCTGGGGTGGTATTAAAATCAGACGATATTTATCTAGATGTGTTAGCCTTCAGAAAATTTGTCAATTACATCGCGTGTGACTCTCCTGTCCAGTGGAGTTGACATCCACAAACTCGAGTCTGAAAACAAAATTTCAATATTTATTTATTGCTTAACTTCTCATGAAGGGGGACCTATCATGCTACTTTATGTCGTGGGGTAGTAATAAATATTCAATGGTAGTGAACCCTGTTATTGGTGGGAAGAATCATGATAGCTTTTTAATTCAAATATCAACTTCAAGAAATATATGAGACTTTTTCTCCAGAAAACATCACGCAATAAGCACTTTTTGCTTTGAATTGTTTTAAGTGAATTAGTGACATTGCAACTTAAAAACTCAACTTCAATCATGCGACAACCAACAAAAGTTGATTTTTCCCGAGCTGGAAGCGGTTTTGTAAATTCTCAAAATATTAACTCACTAGGGGCTACTTGCCCTCTCTACTGCCTTTTCTTTTTTTTTCGTGGATTTAGACAGCTTATCTCGTTAATAGTAAGCCGAGGGCGGTTAATTAAGGTAATAACAGTAGTCACGTAGCAATAGCTTATGGCACTATATAGTGATAGACAGATTTAGCATATAAATGATAGATATGTCCCATCGGGGGGTACAGTGTTTTGTTCTTATGTATGATAGACTTTCGTCTTTATGGGATTGGATAATAGTGAACACTCCCTGTTATCCGATTATATGACAGGAGAAGCATATAACATTTTGCCGTACAGAAGAAAAGAAGTGCAGACTTTCTGACATCAGACTTTAATACATACCAACCAAAGGTTGAGGCAATAATGACCATCTAATGCCTAAGGCTAAGTATTTAGGAGCACTCTGCAATAATTGCAATTTAAGGCAGAAAAATTCAGGTAATATATTTGCCTGTTATTATCATAAACCTATCATATGCGAATATGGCTTTGATATATTAAAGAAACCTAAGTGTCTAAAGCCCCATTCAATGTTTTATGTAAAAGGGATTTAAATTCCTCAAGTTTAGAAATTGGAGCACTACGTTTCCTGGATATGTTAGCCTTCTTGTCCGCTGGGTTGGCTTAGTTTGGTCAGGCGCACATAGCTTCAAAATCACCTGAAATTCACAGAGGCGATGATAAGTCATCTACCACCGAAAGTTGGGGATAGCTTATTACCGGCAAACAAGTGTGTACTTAAATGGATTATTGCAGCTCCCTCAGAAAGCTCGAAGAGAAGACTTTACCCCCAAAAAGAAGATTTCTACAGTTTCTCTGTCTAAGAAGCATATAGCCAAGAAGAATTCGATTCATGCTCATCTGGTTGGAGAGATAAACTGCTTGATCAAACTCTAGGAGACTATCTCCTAGTATATCTCAGCTGTGATGTAGGACTTCTGGCTGAATATTCAACTTGCATAGGTGTTTTATACAACATCTATAATCTAGATGTGTTCACTTTGTTTATCTCCCCCGGCTTTGCCTATGATGCCTTCTTAATAAAACAGTGGGAAGTGGAATTAATTACTGATCAGGAGCTTTATAACATCTTACAGTCTAATATAAGAGGCGGCTTCACTTCTGCTGTTAGGACGTGTGCTCAGGCCAATAACCAGTTCATTAATCCCCAATTTTGTGAGAAAAATTAGTAAGTAAATTTTTGCCTATACTGGGATTTTATATCTTTTATGGTTATTGCATGACTGAGGCGCTGCCCTACGCGACAAACATTCGAATAACTCTCACACGAAGAAATGGCGAGTTTTCTACGCATATGGGCAGTCTTCTCAGAAAAGAAGTCCTCAAGGACTCTATAAAAGGTTTAATGGCATTCTTATAGACACTCTAGGAATAGACCCGAAATTTAGCATCGCTACAATGGATGACTTATGTTATGTCTCTTTCACAAACAGATAAACATTAGATGATTATTCTGAGTCTGCAAACAGCTATTGGCTATCCAGTATCAAAAAACTACCCCCGTAAAATACTAAATTGTGGGGGACCATCTCCCAACGAAACTGTCCTAATATCATCTGCCTTTATTGCAGTTTTTCTTGGGATAGGTCTACAAATTGAGAAAATTCATAGCATATATGAATTCTCACAGGAAATATATTGGCGGGCTTTTTTTTGTTTGAACGAAAGTGAGGCAAAATCGCAATGTAGTAGCACTGAGTATATAAGACTGTCAGCAGATTATTTAAATTGTGATCCAATTTGTAATCGCGCAAGAACAATTGTTTAATCCATCTAAAAGTGTTGCCAACAAAACGAGCTACATAACATTGCGGGAGAATTGTATTTTTGAGAGGAGCCGGTGGATAAGTACACTATGTTTAAGAAAGCCATATGAAAGCTTGTCAGTAATAGATCCAAGTTGTGTGTTACGACGCTGGGACGCCACAGGCCATAAAACTCCAACTTACCCTTATTACTTAGGTACCAGATACTAGAACTTGCCAAATTTAAGCATGGTACCATTTTGGATATGATGTCTTAGAAAACATACCAAGAACAAATAAAACTAAATGTCTATTCAGATACCGATAGTGTCATCGCTGTTTAGAGGGCATCAAAAAACTTTACTGATGAATTCGGTAAGGAAACCATTGAGGAAATGGTTAGACACATTAATTTCACACACAGATCATCCTCTGCGTACACAATGTCTTAAAGATGGGATCTCTATGGCCTTACTTAAAAGTGAGGTGGCGGGACCAGCATTATTTGTGTGTAATAGTCTGCATTTCAAACCCAAAATGGTATAGCATGTGTACCTGCTAGCAGATAATAACAAACACTGTCGGCTGCAAAAGGAGTCCTCAGTCTGAACAAAAATTATTGTGACTCATATATAACTTTAGAAGTGTGCTGGGAATAGACGGTTAACATAACGTCCAATATAGTCATAATATAGAATATTTTGTAATGGTCAGATGACCACTATCACCACTGTAGGAAACGACGGTCTTTGCTAATGTTGATGATTAAGCGCTTTTATTAGAGATGCCATTTCACTCTGTATCCTATGGTAATCAAGATGACCAAGAGAAACATAAGTTTAAAATTATTTAAAGATAAAATCGATGACATGGTGGAGAAGACGAAGAAGCGTAATAGCAAGTACTGAAGAAGGGAGTACAGAAGAAAGAAGAGGAACTAGAGATGAGAGACAGTTGCAATCTTTGGCGGGGAAGAGAAAAAACCGTAAGAGATTTTTTTCCCAGGGTCCAGCATCGACGCGAGTGAAGGTAGATCTTTCCACGCCACTGTCGTGAGTTTCTTGCTCTTAGGAAGCTAGCTGTTTGAGGGAGAGGGGAATAAAAACATGTATTGTTAACTATATTAATATATTTGCTAGAGAGTCTTTTTTTGTTTTCACCCGTTTGAAAAATTGAGGTTATTATCCTTTTTCTCACAGATGCCCCGAGTAGCTGGTGAGAGCGGGCGATGGCGTGATAATCACACCCGATGACCTCCAAAGAAAGCACAGGCCCGCACCGCAACACTCCATCAGGAGGCCCAGTCACACCTGAATCCTTTGTAATGCCTCTCTTCCCAATGCATCAGTGTATAGAGTTTGGGGAAGTCAGTAAGTGATCATTTCTCTACTTCTGTTCCTACTGTAGTAAGAAGACTGTCTCACTATCCCCTTGGGGGATGATTAAAACATATTATAAACTCCTACCCTGTCAGCCCTAAGGTCACATTACAGGACACCCCCAGTGATCTCATATTTTTCCATGGTCATTATACCCGGATAATCCGGTTCCGTCGGGCGGCACCGGCTGCCACATCCATTGTACGACGTTCTTTAAACCAAGCAGTGTGTTGTTGTTGTTGTGAAGTATAGCAACAGTCGCGTCAGTGAGTGACGCAGCCCCGGGTGATAAGGGGGGGGGGAGCCAATAGGTAGAGTGGGTAAGTTTACCAGTACACGCTGAAAGAACTTTGTACTGTCTCTCCCAGCTATATGACGTGATAGAGTTTGGGGAGTCAAAGTGGATTCATGTTACCCTACCGTCGTAGTATTAAGTGTTGTATTACACACAAGAAATTAGCCTCTCTCACTCGTCTGTTCCCTTGGGGGATGTTTAAATCATATGAAATCTTGTACCCCTGGACGGCACTGTGAGCTTATGAAGACAACCTTTATCACATTCTTTTTCAACAATCATTATCCTGGGAATCTGCCCACTGCACACCTGAATCAGTGTGTTGTTGTACTGCCTATCCATCTGTAGTCACAGAGTGATTGAGTCTTGGGCCGGTGTCAGAAGAAGTGATCATTACCTACCTTCCTTTACTTAGTAATTACAAGAAATAAATCTCTCTATCCTGGGGGAAGATTAAACATGTATTAATAAACTTGTACCCCTGACAGACCTGTTGCTTATGTGCAGACAACCCATTAGCACATTCTTTTCCACACTAATTATACACGGAGTTCTGCACACCTGCAACACCGAACCTTGTGTTTCTACATTTATGTGCAGTATGTATTAATGCATAGGAATAAGTCTCTCTATCCCCTTGGGACCATGATTGAATCATTATTAAATCAATTAACTGTCATGCTGCACAAACCCCATCATTATGCATTTTCCTTGGGTTGTCTTTAGTCCGGCAGTGTTCCATGTAGATCGACCAATTATGTACATACTTCAGGATG